GCCACACTCCCCCTGAGAGCTGTAGGGTGGGTCCTTGCTGTCTCTTCCGTCTTCCGGTGGCTCCCAGGAATCGTCAGTGTTCCTGGGCTGTGGATGCATCACTCCAGCCTTCTTGTCCGTCTTCACCTGGTCTTCTTCCCCATGTGTCCCCATCTTCTCTCCTTATAAATACACTAGTCATTGAGTTAGAGCCCTCTCGAATCCCGTATGACTTCATTTTAACTTAACTAATTACATCTCCAAAAAGCCTATTTCTACTGGGTTGTCAGAAAAGTCATGACATATTTTTGCAATGAAAAACATAGAAAAAATGTCATGACTTTTCTGACAACGCAATAAATAATGTCCTATTCTGAAGCTCTGGGACATGGGCACCCTTACACTCATCTCCATAATGTGACAAAAAGTCAAAGTCCTCACCCCGCAGGGACGTTCAGGGGCTGGGACGGTGTCATGTAATGTAAACAAATGCAAACTCACAACACGCACCCAGCAAATGTAGCAATCGGCATGTTTGCTCCTATGCCTACAAGCCTCCACCGTCATAGCTTGGCTCACGCCAGGCTAGTTCGGCTCACCGATGACTGCATTCTTAGCCTCTGTGCATTGACCAACACATAGCTCACATTCAACAACTCTGGTTGGACACACACTATTTGTTTGATGACTACTTTCCCTGTATATCTGCATTACAGATAGCGAGTATAGGTTCAGATTTTTGTTACCATTGTGTAACCCCGGTAATGTGGGGACCACATATCATTACACGTTTCCTAGACTCTTTTCATGGGTTGGCCTCACTCCCTGGCATGGTGAGTTTTGTTGCGAGAGGAGTCAGATGTTACAGGTGAGGCTGATGTATTTTACAAACTTTAAACATCCAGGTGCACAAGAAGTAAGCTTTATACCCAACTCCATGTCGTAGCCAACTCTCCGCTGTTCTTTTGCACATTGCATTTTATATCTTCTATTCTGCATGAATTCTGATGCGAATGGAGGCTCGTTTTTTAATTAAATTAGTGGTGCAGATAGAACACTCCACCTCTGTAGGCACCGTTGGGGGATGAGGAGAGGGCCGGGCCAGCAGGGAGCCGTGCGGTCTGGGCATCACACACCAACGCGGACGCGGGCTGGAACGTGGCGTTTTTTGACAGAGTTCCACCCTATGAATGGAGTCAACCAAGTGGGGAGTGAAAAATTTATTTTCTGACAGGGGTGTCAGCAGAATCATCATGAGCCGACGACAACAAATCCATAGCTGGGTGAAAAGCTGGCGGGGTGGAAAAGCAGGGCAGTGGAGGCCGACCCTTCCCTCCCAGCTGTCCGGAACATAATTCCACAGCAATTACCGGCCCAGCTGGCTCCGCGCGCCGTGAGGCTCGCAGGCGTTTCTCGTTATGGGGCTCACACAAGAAACCCAACGGACGCGAGAACAACTAGGGGTTATCAGTGAACCACAGAAATGGCTGCTGCCTTCTCTGCAGAGCACCATGGCTAGAGCGGGACCCCAGTTCCTGTATGATGTTGGCTGTCTGGACGCCCCCACCCCCTTCTGAAGCCCGCCTGTCTGCTGCGGTCCATCTGGGCGCCCTGCCCTTTCTGCAAACACACCCTCCCTGCTGCTCTCGGAGGCTGCACTTTGCTTTCTCAAGACACCGAAGATCAAACAAGCCAAGTTTGCAACAAGCAGTCTAACGGGAATGAAGAAGCTGTAATGCTCCAACTTTCTGGGCCTTGTTGTGCACATGCTAACTACACTCTGTGGACCCGAGTGGCGAGGGTCCCATTTCCAACACAGCATGGAGTGGGTGATCTCCTCAACTGTAAAATGAAGCCGTAAGAGCACAGCATGAAAGTGTATTAGCAACAGTTAGATAAGGGGGACCTCAGCAAGGCGTACACACTGGCAATTGGTAAAATAATGTCTGTACAAATTGTTTTTGGTACATTAAGTACCTTTCACAGCCAAAATTACAAAAAAAAAAAAAGAAGAAGAAGAAGAAGAAGAAAGAGGGGGAGGCAAAACCAGAAGCGACACAGAACAGCACACACAAAAGGCAGACCCAGTTGGTTCTCCGGCGAAGTAATTTCATGCAGAAATTTTTTATTGAAATTGTTTCTCTAGTTGACAGATCTAGTGTACAATGATAAATGACAATGTGCCAGGCAGCTTGTCAGCCTGTGCTGGGGGAAATCTCACGCAAACTCCTCCGTAATATTAATAAGCATGCATTTCTTCCAGCAGAAGGTATTTGAAGCTCGTGAGCAGTGGCCAAGCCAAGTGGCATTAAGTGGCAATACTGGGAGGCTGAGAAAGGATTTATGTGTGTGCACAAATCTAACAGCCCCTTACTGCCGATGACATGCTGACAAGGAAACAAGGGCTATGAAAAATGATCTGAGTCTACGCGGCAAAATCTTTGAATTCCAAGGGCTTGAGCACGCTGGGGTGCGGGACCCGCTTCAGCGAGTGTTATGGAGACTCTGACCCTAAATTCACTGGTGTCATGAGGAGGCGTGCTGGACAGACCCGAAGGGGACGCCACTCCTGGAAGCTGCCCAGGTCAGAGGAAGGATTAGTCCGAGTCGAAGGCTTTAAGCCCTGTTGAAGGAAGCAGCTAAGGGATCCTGAAGCCAGAGGGCTCACCTCAACCGGATGGCGGGGCCACCTGGCTCCTACGTGGGCCTGGGGCGTGGTGGGTTCACTGCTGAGTCCTTTCTGTCTGTGTGACAGTAGGCAAGGGTTTCAGGAGTGTATTTCCATGGGTTGTGGAACCAAGTGTCGCCCATGACACATACATTTAACAGAAACTGTCTCACATCTACACACACGGTGGCAGAATCTTCCTAAGAAACATGATGTTAGGTCAAAGTGCATTCTCCCAAACTACGAGGTAAAACACAAGATGGGCATCTATTGTGCACAGATGAGGAAACCACTGAGGCATGAGCTATGAGAAGTGTGGAGAGAGCACAGCTTCCTGCAGTGCATGCGGTCCTGCATGCCAGCGGGTGAGGGTCAGCGGTAGTCCTTTATGAGTCCTCATGGACATCAGGACACGGGCAGTCTGGCTTTCATGCTAACACTAAAGTGCAGAGCAGGGCCCCGGGTCTGAGGGCCTCAGTTTCCTCATCAGATAAACAGCTGGATCAATACTGGTCTGGAACAATCATCCCTGAAGCCAATGCTGGCCTTAGAATCAGGGATTCAGGAAGTGCCTTTCACAGGCAGGGTGTCTCTGGAGATGCAAACACACACATCCAGACACGGGTTGCTTTCCAGCCTATCGTCGCTGGGGACGTTTACGACGTTTGCTCTCTCATGTGAAATGGAAGCATGATCCTGAAGTCAGTAATGGGTTCCTTGGCAACTGGATTTAGACAGATGGGCACAGTTTCATTTGTTTTGGAAACACCTCTGCCCAGCACGTGTCCTCCATGGAAGCCCTCAGTCACCTCTGCCTGTGCCCCAAACCAGACGCCCAGGACGGGAAGAAGGACCCAGGGAGCCAGGCAGAGGGGGCCCTCACGGAATGCTCTGACCACCCGGCTAACGCGTAGCCGGCCGTGAGACTCGTCGCTGTGGGATGAGGGCACAGGGGCCACAGGCCGAGCACAGCAGTACTGCCGTCCCTCTCTGCAGACCAGGAAGGGAGGTGCCCAGAACTGGGGACATGGACAGTACCCGGCACCAGGAACGCACCGCCAGCCGGGATGCTGGAGACTTAGAGCTTCAGGAGCTGTGGCCACCCCTCACGTGAAGTCAGTGACCAATTTCACAAACCTAAGAGAGGACACACAGGCTAATGCGTACCTGTCCACACGCAAAGGTCAGTTTGCTCAATTGTAGTCTCAGGTGTCAAGGCCTGCAGACATACAAGGCAAAGATTACTGGCTCCCAAAAACTGAGCAACTCAGCCTAAGCCCTGAACTGACTACGATCAGTAAAATACAACCAACCCATCAGCTCCCTCCCCGCTGACTCGTGGCCCCTAAAGTATATTGACGTGAATGCTAGACAGAACGTGCACCAAAATCTTAACATGAGATATCTGAATCTGTAAAGATGACTTTTCTGATAAACCACATGAAATGAAAGCGATGGGATAAAGTGGCAAGAATGGAAGAAAGAGTCAGCCCATGGCCTGGAGGACCCGTCGGAGGCTTCAGCTTTCTCCCAGTTCACTCCCCTGACTACGTTTCTGTTCGTTATATTTATTTTATGAATCTTTACTTGTCCTCAAGGGGTTATTTTTAACAGATAAACATGGGGGAAAGGACTGTGTTGAGTCTGTCCTGCACAGATACTCTGAAATCATCCACGCCAAGGAGCCTCGCCTACAGAAGCTGACACTTTGCTGTTAGTAGTTGTAACCATAATTAATAATGTTCTGATCTAACCTTGAAAGGAATCCGAAAACAATAGAAAAGGGACTTGATGTGAACTGAAGTCCTGTTTAGAAAAGAGAGATTATTTTCTGAAGCTCCGTGTGTCAGTCCTAAGATACTAGTCTTATTTCTAATGCTGCTGCCATAAGCAGGGTTTTCATTCAAGACTGAACTTTCTTTAAAAATTAAGATGTTACTGAACAATGAACCTCCATGAAGGCCGTCACTGTAAGTGGATCCTGATGCAAACGTTGGAAGCTTCCTGTAGCTTTTGTGTTTGTGCAGGAGGATTTCAAAATACATTTCTCCCGCAAAAAAAACTAACTTTACAGAGCATTTCGCAACTGTATCTTAATGTTAAGATAAAAGGAGAAACACCTTATTGACACATGGAAAATCCATAGGCTGATAAGCAGCATCTTTCAATCCAAATAATAATTAAAACCACGCCTGTATCAATAATGTATTCTATGGAAATAAGGTTTATTTTTAGAGACATATTGACCCACCAACCATTCAACACATCACTGTATCGGCCTTGAGGATCTTATTTTCTGTTTATATTTTGTTGTGGGTGAATATACGTTTCTTGGGCACACAGAATCGCAAACGCATGTTTGGAAGACCTAGGATATAAAAGGAATTTTTTAGAAAAGGAAAACGAAACATAAAGAAGAATTCACCCAGGCGTGTTTATCCGGGTGGGAGGAGCTTCCCAGCTTCCGGGGGCGGAGCTTGGCGCGAGGAGAAGCCCACAGCCCACGCTTGTTGCCCTGATCGCTCGGGTTCACATGCATTTTTACTCCATTTCTAGACACAGAGGACCAGAGGCGCTGCGAACGGCTCTGATTCAACAGGCGACCGTCCGCGCGTTTGTCCACCAAACAGCCTGCACGGCTCCCGGGTCCGCGTGTGACGACGCCACGAGTTCTCAGCCGTGGTCGTGACGTTGCGGCCACGACGGCCGCTTTGGGGCGGGTCTGTCGCCCCCGTCGGCCCCGGCGTGCGCACTGACACCTCCACGCGTGACGTGGGCCCCAGGAGTGACCCCGGCGCCGCACACCTCCGTCACACAGGGCGGAGGGCCACATGTCGCGCGTGTCCCCGGCACACAGGCCTCCCCCGGCCCGTGCCGCAGCTCCGCCCGGCGGTTCCCGGGACCGTGTCCCTGTGCCTCGTGAGTCTCCCGGGGCCTCCAAGGACGCGTGCGCCCCTCACCCGCGCGTGGGGCGACCCAGTGACGCACTTGCACGTGTGCTCCTGACGTTGTGGAGTTAATTCGGGTGATCCGTGGGTATACGCCACCGAGGCCTGAACTTCGGGCCCGTGTGACCATTCCCTTCCAAGACCACACGGGCCTTTGGAAAGGCACCATTACCCCAAAAGTCAGAAAACCAAGCACAGTTCGCTCGAGGGCTGTCCAGCTCCGCCTGCGGTGGAGTGACCCCCGTGGGCCCTGCAGGGACCCTGTGGCCTCATCATCCCGTGAAGCGGCACCACATGTCTCCTCCACACTGCGCGTGGATAGCCCCTAAACACCCCCATCAACCCACCTGGCTCGACGGGGCACGCAGTAGGTGCAGGTGGAGTTTCTGCTTCGCAGCAAGAATTTCAGGTGCCCAGTCCGTATCAACACCCCCTCGGGTGGTGTCGCGCTGCTTCGGTCGGCTTGTGACCTTGAAATAGTGGATCCCGGGAGGTGTGGGCGCTGTAGGGCAGGAAGCATTGTCCCGGGGACGTTTCCCAGATACCGGCCCCTCTGCAGACTGCACGCGCCTGAGTCTCCCGTTGACTTGCTGTAACCGCTGGGAACGGGTTTCCCACCCACTCGCATAAGCTGGTGGGTTCACAGAGCTGACCCCTGGTCGCTGAGCCCTCGCGAAGTCTGACTGCCTGGAGGCGCGCAGTCGGCCCTGCTCGGCGTTTCTACGCCCGAGCGTTGCAAGTTTAATTCTCGTGGGTAATGAGATCCTGTCCCACGCAAGCGGAGGGCGCAGGCCTGAGCACAAAGGGCAGAGGGGGCCGGACCTCCGAGGGCGCCCAGCGCCCTCTGCACCTGGTGCGTCCCGCCCGCGTGACTCCTTTCATCACTCCGCCCTTTACTTCACTTGCTGAGTTAGTGACTCTTCCCAGGCCTCCTCGTGTTCCTGTGACACCCACAGACTTCCCCCGTGGACTGCACTCTCCCTCCCCCACCCCCACTCCGTGGGCAGAGCTCCAGAGTCCAGGGACGTACCCCATCTCCACGACGACAGCAACACTGCACGGATGGTTGGAAATGAAAGTGGAAGAGAGACGCGGCGTCTAATGATTTTCAGTCTTCGTTGTCGAAGCACTTTCTAAAAAAACAATCCTGTCATTTTCCTTTTGTGTGAATGCAGAATATGAAATATTAATAAAATGAATTTTTAAATACTTGAAATGCAGTTTGGAATCAGGGACACTTGTCAGAGTATCCTCAATTCCTCAGTACTTGAGGCTTTGAAACTCCAAATCGGTGTGCACATGGCTCCAGCTGGCGGCATCCCACTCGTGCTTTCTACCAAGGAGGTCGCCCCGCCGTCCCCGGGTGACGTTGCCAGGGCTTCACAAGGAAACAGAGACAGGATGTTCAGTGGCCTGGAGTTAGAATGGCCTTTTCCTTGTATATTCCTTTATGTTTGCTTTCCTAGTTCCTGTTTTTCTTTTAATGACGACTGGTGATTAGTCCTAAAACGGAGGCAGCACGAAGGGTACGCACAATAGAACAGCAAAATCATAACTGCTAACAGCTACCATAATTATTTTAACTACATTTTTAAAAATCCAGTTTTACCATTTTCTGCTCTTATGAAAGTCATAGATCGTATACAATTTAACGTCTTCCTTATCAAACAAACAAAAAATGGAAAAGAAAATAAAACAATGCTACAGCCCTCAAAGCAATATAAAGTTACCGACTTTTGATCCACAAAGGGGAGTTTCCAGAATAGGCCTGAGGGCCTGTGTCTGCAGAGGAGCTTCCAGAAGGGTATGTGTTCTGCCCAACAGAACAGTGAGACCAGCAGAGGGAGGGCTAAGAACACATCCTGTCTACTGGGCAGGCCTCCAAAATATTCATTCCTTTCTAATGAAGTTTGTAACAGACTCTTCACAATCTCTATCCTTATTTCCAATTTCTTTGCTCCCTCTCTAGTGACTATTGTACAGCTTTTAAATGTCCCTCCCATCTGGAGGAAGTGTCATGGCCCCCAAAACCCCCCGTCTTAGATCCAGTTCTGAACAGGCAGCCGCTCCCTGGAGACCAAGCCCATCGCTGTCACATCCACGTCCAGGGTTGGGGTCGGGTCAGTGACAGCCCCACGGGCAGGGTCTCCTGCATGGCACCATGATGCTGAAATAGCAGCATTGGACACATTTAAAACTTGCTGTTTGTGCAATCACTAAAAACTGCACCATTAGCTGGATTTTCAGATTGCATGAGTGCAGATCATTAAGTGTTATTACAGTATTAATTATTAGAAATGTCCTGTGCTGCCCAAATTAAATTGGGATAGTCAACGACCTGCGAGTTCCCAATACCACGGGTAATTTACCCGGAGATCTGCCTCACCGGGTAAGGTGTCTTCACACGCCGTTCACATTATTTCACATTAAGTACCAACTGAGGATCCCAGAAGAAAATGAATAAATCAGACCTTAATATTTTCCAACGGCAATCTTGACACAGAAACTCTCAGAAAACAGGGAGACTGATGTTGACGCTTAAGTGACAACCAGTGTCCAAATGCAGAAAGTTGACCAGTTGATCAGAGTCTTAATGGGGATGGACCTTCTGAGTCCAGCAGTGACTCACGGAATTCCTGTCTGTCCTAATCTGTGTGGGATTAAAAAGGAAAGTGAAATGAGCATCAATATTTAAGGCCAATCCATTCAAAACTGAATGAATATTTTTAACACAACTTGGACTCAATGCTACCCAGTCATTTCCCAAATCATCGCAAACACCAGGTCTTAATACACAGCCCTCTTTGCAGCAAGAGGCTCTTTGCCATTGGAGGGGCCTGTGTCCTTCTCCACAGGGAGGCCGACGACCACCAGTGGCCTTGCCCTGAGTCCAGCCACAACCTACAAAGCCTTCTAGGCTGTCCCTCCTTCTCAGAAGCCCTTATGAGGTCAGAGTCCTCCTACCCAGGTAGAGATCACCGGTGACCCAGCCACCTACATACGTTCTACAGGTGACCCCATTTTCACCAGAGCTGGTCTTTGGGCCATTTAAACATTTTCTTCATTGAAAAGAACGCCCAGGAAAAAAAATTTTTTTTTAACAATAAGGGTGGATATTTTCATAAGATATATTTTAGCAATGTGGGCCCAGTGTCCACATTGAGAAAAACCATCTCTGACACGCTTCCCTTGGAGACAGCATGGCATGGGGATGGGGCAGAGGGACAGGCTTCTACTCCAGCAGCACCCCTCCCTAGCAAGGTGTTGTCAGGCCCCTTTGGTCCACCGTTTTTCTCACTCATAAAATACTCTAAGCATCAAATGAGAAAATATGTACAAAGTTCCCACTTCTATGCCACTATTTGATAAATGCTAGGTTTTTCATACCCCTCATGCTCTTTCTCTGTTCAAATGTGAAATTCAAGTCCAAGGTGAACTCACTGGTTGGCTTAATGGAGTTGGAAGTAATTGACTACAACTTCTAACTTCCTTCTACCAACGAAGACATTAAGATTTCCCCAGTTGTTAGGCGAACGTGATAACCGCTACACTACGGAGATGTGGATGGGATAGTCTCAGAAACATAGAGGAAAAACTGAGGGTTGCTAGTTGGGAGGGGGTTGGGATGAGGGAGAAGGGGAAGGGGCGAGACAATACAAATTGGTAACTACAATATGGCCTCAGGGATAGAAAAGACAGTTTGGGGAGTATAATCAATAATGTTGTAAATATTTCTTAGGGGGCCAGATGGACTCATGTCTTGTTGGGGAGACCACTTCATAGTCGGTGTAGAGG